ATGTACCACGGGTGTACCTCTTGAGCCTGCCGAAGGAAGGCAGGGGCTGCAGCTGCAGCTCCTGCTCGAGCATGTGAGGAACAGGCTATTTTGGGCCTGTTTCACATCCCTGTTTCCGTGCCTGAGTCTTAGGGGCAGGTCGAAACAATGAGGGCCTGAAAATGGCCCTCTGTTTCAGGCTGAAAACTCTGGGTTTGAAAAGACCCAAAAATAGGCTGAAACGAGGTAGGGCCTGCAGGCCCTCGTTTTTCAACATCCAGGCTGAAACGAACGGGGCCTGTAAGCCTTAAGTTTTAGGCTTTTAGGCTGAATGTCCGGGACGGGCCCTGCAGGGCCCGTGTGGCTACGCAGTATGCCACCCCCCCCCCTCCTTGAAGAACCGAGCTTACCTGCGAGGGCGAAGCTGTCTGTTTGAGGGAGGGACCATAGTCCGGGTGGGAGGGGCTGGTCGTGAAGCTTCCTGAGCTAACCTGCGCTTTTGGTAATGCGCGTAGATCAGCGGTGCGGATGCTTTCAAATCTGCGCCTGATATCCACCGAGTGTCGTCGCGATCGCATGCTTTATTTGTGACTTTATACTGTCGCAGCTTGCTGCCGTACTTGCGATCGGAGATGACGCGGTCAACTTCCTGATGGCCATCCATAAAAGGAGGGTCCTGCGATCGTCAGTCCGGAAAGTCGTCGCTCTTGGCTGGCGTGTAAGTTGCCAGCTTCGAGGCGTGGAAGACCGGATGGACCATGAGTGCTCTCGAATGTTGATCACAAATGAAGGGCCATCGGGCTCATCGCCCACGGCTGCTGTCACAGACCAAGGTCCAAACCACTTGGGAAGTAGTTTGCGTGAAACATCCTGTTCCAGTGCAAACTCTTTCGCGGAGACCCAAACCAGATCACCGGCGCGGATGGGACATGGTACGCAACGCCTGTTGGCTTGCTGCTGCATGCGGACTTGAGCCTTTTGCATATTTGCGCGGGCTTGAGTCAGCAATTCCCTRTACTTCCGGACGGAAGAGGGAGAGCAGGCAGCGTCAATGTCGGCTGGTCGAGGGAGGGGAAGGTCGGCGAAGATCCGGCCTTTCCGTCCACCGTGGTGCAACTCGAATGGAGTCACGYCGATCGCCGGATGCACCGAAGTGTTGTAGGCAAACTCGATGTCCGGGAGGCGGTCAACCCAATCTTTCTGGTCCGGACGGATGAGCGTACGAAGCATTATTTGAGCGGTCTGATGTGCCCGCTCCGTCTGCCCGTCTGTCTAAGGGTGTCGAGCCGAACTTGGTTTCATTGTTATGCCGGACTCCTGCATGAGAGCAGTCCAAAACGCCGACATGAAACGAGTGTCGCGGTCTCTGTGGCCACAAATCCAACCAGTGTGCAGGAGGCGTGCCAGCTCGGTAGCCGTGGAGTAGTACTTGCAAGGGAGAAAACGCGCGTACTTACTCAATCGGTCCACAACCGTGAGGATGTCGTCGTGCCCGAGCCGGTCGCGAGGAAACGTACCGGTGACGTCCATGGCAATGGAGAAACCGGGTTTCTGTGGGATAGGCATCGGGTGTAACTCGCCGTAGGGATTGTGGTTGCGGGGCTTGCTGCGTCGACAAACTTCGCAAGAGTCGCAATACCGAGTGACATCGGTAATGAGGTCGGGCCATCGGAATCGCTGTCAAAGCCGTGCTATAGTGCGGTTGACTCCGAAATGGCCGGCGAGTCGTGAATCATGGTACTCGCCGAGGAGGCGAGTCCGAAGACGACGGTCGCGTGGGACACATAGTAAGTCCTTGCCGCTCGAGTGGAGGAGCAAGTACCCATCGACAATGCGGTAATGGCTGGCCGGCGGGTGATCCGAAGATAGCTGTGCATAGAGCGTTCCGAAGTCCGGATCAGACAGATATGCCCGGATCAAGTGTCGCTGAAGCTCCTCGTCGAATGCGAAGGCATGATGTGTCATAGCGCAAAGATCWGGTCTTCGCGAGAGTGCATCTGCTGCGCGATTTGAGAGGCCAGGTAGATGTTTCGGTGTGAAGTTAAACTGGTCGATGAAGTACATCCATCGTCCGATCGTGCTGCTCACCGTATCTTGCGTCTTGTAGTAGGTCAATGGATTGTTGTCCGTAACCCATATGAACCTACGACGCCCAAGGAGGAAGTGCCGCTATCGCTTGAGAGCCATGACGAACGCGAGTAGCTCCTTCTTCCTTGCATCATCAAGCGAGTTGATGGGAG